CGCCATGGTGAGTTCTGAGACATAGAAAAAATGTCCCTGGACCACTTTGTTTGCAGCCTTCAAGACAAGAGAATGCAGCGGAATCTCTTCACCAAGGAAGAGCTGACATTCCAAGCCACCGTCAAAGAGGCCCTGGCTTTGAAAAGGCCGAGGGTGTCACCCAAGAAATCCGCACCTCCTGTAGCCCAACTACAAACCCCAGGGCTGAGGCTGTCCACCATGAAGACACCTCTGAATACTCAGAGGAGGAGGAAGTGCTACAGGTCCACTGCAATGCCCAGAAGCGCTCCAGCCGCCAGGTTCCACCAGCCAGCCAGTCAGCTCAACAAGACTCCAGCTCCGGCCTCTGCACTAGCTGCAGGGACCCCCATGAATGCCGGTCCTGCTGGTTCCAGGACGCAACTTGTTGGACCTGTGGTAAATGAAACAAATCCAGAGACTGCTAGGTTTGATGGGGCCACCATCAATGTAATCATCTTTGCCAGACTGCACATGAGACCTCTGCAACTCTGGTTTGTCCACAGGTTTCATCCGCAGAGTCAACCTCAATCTCTTCGTCTTGTCTTTCCAATGGCTGTTTTGGGCTCGCTGCTCTGGTGGACAGATCCTGTAAATCTACTAGCAGGAGCCCCATTTCATCAGCCAACAGGACTTTGACACCATCTGCCAGGAGTTCGCCCCTGTCTTCAAGGGGACTCTTGGCTGCTACACCGGACCCCTGGGTCTCACTGCACCTCGACCCATTCATTGTGCCCATTTGAATGAAGGCCCGGCAGGTCCCCTTCACACTCAAGCCCAAGATCAACAAGGAACTAAACCGCCTCATCACTCAGGGCATCCTGGTCTCTCACACTCACTAGGAGACACCAATCATCACACCGATTAAGCCCAACAGGGATTCCAAATATGTGCAGACTACAAATGCACACTTAATAAGGCTCTTCAGCAGCATGCATATCCGGTACCTGTCATCAGCCATCTCTTAACCTCCCTTATCGGCTCAAAGATCTTCGGGAAGCTCAACCTAGCCCAGGCCTACGAGCAGTTGCCTGTGGATGACACCACTGCAGAAGCCCAGACCATCATCACCCACCGAGGAGCCTTCAAGGTCAAGCAACTCCAGTTTGATGTTATTATGGTACTGGGGATATTCCAGGGCCTTATGGACACTCTCCTCAAAGAGCGGGGAGGGCGGGGTATAAATGAAATAAAATAAAATAAATAAAATAAATATCCCAGGAGTCATTCTGTTCTTTTATGATGTACTCATCGTGAGCTCCTCTGACATTGAGTTCATCAGCCGCCTCCATGAGGTACTCCACCACTTCCACGCAAGTGGGAAAAGTGTCTCCTGAGCATCCCGAAGGTCGAGTTCCTTGGATACCTCATCAATGCAAATGGCATACACCCCAGTCACGATAAGGCCAAGGACATTGTGAACACCCCTGCCTCTGACATCAAGGCAGGATCTCCAGGCATTTCTTGGACTCCTGAACTTTTACCACTCATTCCTGCCACACAAGGCAGCCTTGGCTGAGCCACTTCACCGTCTCCTGAACAAGAAGTCTCCCTGGGTCTGGGGCTGCCACCAGAACACTGTGTTCCAAGCCGTGAAAACCCTGCTCATGTCCAACTCTGTTCTTGTCCACTTCAACGAGTCTCTCCCAGTGGTCCTTGCCTGCGATGCCTCCCCATATGGCATAGATGTCATCCTCAGTCACGAGCTTCCAGACGACAAGAGGCATCCATTGCTTACTATTTGCGTGTGTTGTCTTCTGCAGAGAGGAACTACACGCAGATCAACAAAGAGACCCTGGCAGTTGTGGCCAGAATCAAGAAGTTTCACAACTACCTCTATAGCCATTGGTTCACCATCGCCACGGACCACAAGCCCTTGCTGGGCTTCTTCACTCCAGACCGCCAAACGCCTCAGATCCTGTCACTTCATATCCTGTATCTGTCCATCTTCCTGTTGGCCTATCAATACACCCTGCATTACTGGCTGGGCAAGGCGATGGGCCACAATGATGCACTCAGCCATCTTCCACTTCCTGTTTCTGACACAGATCCAGCTCCTGCGTATTGTGTCGTTCTCCTGGAATCCCTTCCAGAACCTCCACTACATGCTTCAGACATCGCTGTGCATTTGGCTAAAGACCACATCTCCCGGGTCCTCGACTGGGTATGGAGGGGGTGGCTGACTGACCGCAAGGATGCAGAATTCACAGTGTACACCTCCCACCAGCAGGAGCTCTCAGTCCACAAGGGCTGCCTCCTCTGGGTAAATCTAGTAGTGGACCCCACAAAGCTCTGGAACCAAGTCCTGGAGGCCTTCTATGAGGCCCACCCTGGCATCATGCAAATGAAGGCTCTCACCAGGAGCTATGTCTGGTGGCCAGGCATTAACACACCATTGAAGATTGGGTCCACCGATGCCACACCTGCCAAGAGTCCTGGCACAAAGCCCCCAGGGCACCAGTTCAGCAGTGGGAGTCCACCTGCACACCATGGTCTCGGCTTCATGTTGATCTTGCGGGACCCTTCCAGGGTCAGAACTTCTTCATCCTGGTCGATTCATACACAAAATGGTTGGAAGTTGTTCCAGTCACTGCCATGATGGCCCAAACGGTTGTCAGGGCTCTACGGAAGATCTTCGACACCCACAGCCTGGCCGGCAAGATCATGTCTGACAATAGGCCACAATTCACTTTAGCAGAATTCAAAGAGTTCATTGACAGATACCTGATCTGCCACATCATGTCAGCACCCTTCCACCTGGCCAACACCCAAGCTGAGCGAATGGTGAGAACCACCAAAGAAGCCCTCACCTGACTCATCTATGGAGACTGGGATCACTGATTGGCAGCATTGCTCTTCAGCCAGTGAGTCACCCCATGAACCGCCACCAGCCGCAGCCCTGTGGAACTTCTCATGGGCTAGCGCCTGGCAACCCGTCTCAACCAGCTGCACCCAGACAGGACCTCCAACTGGCCGCTGACCCCAGAGACACAAGGCGCAGCCTGTGGATTCCACCCTGGTGATCGTGTCTATGTCAGGAACTATGCAGACGGTCCTGCATGGTTCCCCGCGACTGTTGCTCAAGAAATTGACCCCATCTCCTATGAGGTAACCACCCCAGATGGCCAGACTCTCCACTGCCATGTGGGCCAGCTGTGCCACCACCTTGCGGACTCAACAACAGTCGCACCACTCCCAACCTTGGGTGATCACTGCCTGGAGCAGCAGTCTTCCCAGACCTACAATCCTCCCGAGTGTAGACCTGTGCTTCCCAAAACCTCCTGAGCCACCCAGCATCAGCACACCAGCTATCACACAGCCTGCACTGCCTGCAACTACCCTGGCACCAGAGCCCTGCCGCTCCCAGCGAGAATGTGTGAGGCCTCGCTACCTAAAAGACTACATTTGCTGATGAAGGACCAGACTTAGGGGGAACGGGTGTAATGTCTGGACATGTGCAGTCTTCCACTCAGGCTTAACTGCTGCTGGTGCCTGGACTTGTTTGGCAGGCCACTTAGATGGAGCTTGGAGCCCAGAACAAAGGCAGGCAGGATCCAGGAGCCTGCCTGCGGATCGGCCCCTGGGGGCAGCCAGCCAATCTGGAGCCTGGAAGCCATTTGAACTCACCAATCACATGGGGGCTGGGAGTGGCTTAGGTGTATTTCGTTAGGGCAGTTGCCCCATATAAAGCATTCCTGTTGAGATGCAATAAACTGCTGCTTGTTGAAATCACTCTGCCTTTGTCTCTGCCATGTTAAACCCACTATTTAACACATTAGATTGGGAGTGTGAGACTGGCCCAAGGTCACCCAGCAGGCTTCCTTGTTAGAATAGAGATTCCAACTAGGGTGTCCCAGATCTTAGTCAGACACAGGGTCTCAATTAATTTTACTGACTGTAACATGCTGTGTGGGGGGCTGCCCCCAAAGATACCCTACAACTGGTTCAAAATGCAGCAGCCTGACTTCTATCTGAGGATGATGATTTATGGTGCTTCGTGGGCCCTGGTTATCTATTTACTTGTGGGCCCAGTTCAAGGCGCTGGTTTTCATATTTAAATCACTTTATGGGCTGGGTACCTTTAGGGGTGCCTGGGTGCTAGAAACAACATACAGTAGGGCGTATACTGTTATTCCATTTTGAAACCTAGGGATCCTTTTATAAGCTACTTTGAATCCTCATAGAAAACTGGGGTATAACTATTTAATAAATATCACAAAATAAATAAACCATAGATTAAAACTTGGGCCTCTGAATCACTGGTGAAACTGATGACAAATCTCGGTCTCTGGGCCTTGGTGCTCTTAAAGGATCAGTTCATACAAGAAATCTAATGCCTGATTCATGCAGTGTGAAACATGTGACCTTGATTGATGTAGCCAAAGAAGACAAAGGATTCAGAATTGCCTAGCCAATTGCCTTTTAGATTGTGCTGCGAGTTGGATGTGGACAGTGATTTTGCTGTTTTGTCCCTACCTGGTACCAAGCTATTCTAGTTCTAGCATTGGCTACAATTTCCAGTGTGGGGTAATACTACTGAAAAATGCACACTTTTATACAAAGGCTTGTAAGTATGTTTTTACAAATGTGATGTTCAGTAATAAAAGCCAACAGAAATTCTATTGCTAGCACAAGAAACTTGGCTGAATCCTATAGCAAGCATACAGGATAATTTACAAAAAGATGCCATCTGCTGTACAAAGCTGCAATCAGCAGGCTGTTTCTATTATGGGCTAAGTCTTCTTCTTTTATTGATTTTCACCCGGCATTTTCTAAAGTCCCCAGAGCAATATGACCAACTGTGGCAAATGAAGAGGCAGAGGGCTTCTCAGTGACCCCAATATCAATTCTACTTTGTACTTTACCCCGTCCCAAGGCTATGGACCTGAAAGGTTAGTTCAAGAAAGGAATAGAAAGCAGTACATATGGCACTATACAGGCAATTGCATAGAAATGTATCCTGCTGATATTAGCAGATTCACCTGCATATCTTTTAATTGACTTTGAAAAAATTTCTTTTTGTCTTCATATTCTTTTTTCCTATTTTTCTCCTGTTGCTCAAGTTCTTGAAGCATCTGATTCAATTCAGAAATTTTCTGAAAAATATAAACAGACAATAGAGCTGGTATAAAATCCAGCTTCTCTGCAAAATGTATTAAAATGGAAAGTGCTCTTCTTTAATTTTTACCAATTATAAACTACTACATAACTTTTGTTCATGAATTCCAGATGACATATATATTTATCTTATTAATATAACCAAATTTACTTTTTCATTATGATAGACCATTTTAAGTAGAGGAAACACTTGCTTTGATCCCCAGAGATATGCTCTCAAAATTTCACCTGCATCAGATTATTTGTTTATTTCTACGACAGCTCTCCAAGGATCCTGCCCAAGGTGGCTTACAAAAATAAAACATATTAAAAAACATAAAACATAATAAAGGTTCTGAATTATAAAAACCCAGCTATAGTATAAAAACATAGCATATCAAGCAGCTTTGGAACTTTCAGGGTAAAAAACAAGAGTATAGAAATAGTGTTAAAAGATCTACTCTTTAATTAAAAGCCTGGGGAAAAGAGAGGTTTTGGCTGAGTACCTACGCAAGAGTAGGGTAAGCATCAGGTGTACCTCAAAGGGTCAGGCATTCCACAGTCAAGTGCCACCACTGAAAACAGCATGGGAAACAAGATGGATTGCTGCAGAACCCCATAGCAAAGGTGTCAAGTGGCTGAGCAACAGTTTGTGTGTTGTTACCTACAGATCCCTCACATTCTTGAACTTTTGAGGACTCATCCAAGGGCTCAGTCCACCCCCAGACTATCCTTACACCACTCTGACAGAAGAAGGCTTTATTCTGCCCAGATTTTTCCCTTGAACATGCAGCCTCTCACAAGTGGTCTTCATTTTTGAATTAGTTGTGGGTGAATACATCTAACTTAACAGGACAGCTTCCATTAGGAATTGTTTCATGTCATATTGATTGCTGAGTCCCCAATTTGTGTGACATACATTGATGTGATTTATTATATTCTTCAACCTTGGTGATCTCCTTTTTCCCTTTTCCCCTTTCTGCTTATGTATATAATCTAGTTCAGTTTAAAGTTACCATCTGTCTCTGTCCTCTTCCCAGTTCCACCTGAGACATCACCCCTAAGATTGCACCTGTGTATTCATAGACTTTAGTGTTCTTGCCTTGGGGTTAGGAGGTCCATGTGTAAAGGCTACAAAGTGTAGCTCCCTCAGTCCCTTAGAAACAATATAGTCACATTATTACTAATAATCATTTGTCACCTGCAGTAATCTGCTATAGCTCTATGAAATAATCATCATTTTTTCTTATTTTTAAGATTAGAGAAAAAAAATATGGCATGCCCCAAACCATCCAGCAAGTCCTTGGCTCATCAGAGACATAATCTCAGCTTCAGGTATTCTGGACCATCCTGGCTACACAGAATAGTGTCTTTGAATGGCAACCTTATGTAATTTTATTTATTACTTTAAAACTTTTCTAGCCTGCCCTTTCTCCGCAGATCCAAGGTAGGATAGAAGTGTTACAGACGGCTGAAACAAATCTTAAAAGAAGCTTTTCATGTGGGGTGGAACACTGTAATTTGAGAAAGAGAAGTCTAAAAGTCCCTTGAGCATGTGGAATTAGCTGCACGGTTTTTAAAAATCTAGATTCATATATTTAAGACTGAGGGTGTCCATGATGGGCTTTGTACTTTTTGGATATAATTTCAGTTTTCTTGCATTGTATCTCTGTTAAAGTGGTTTATGTAGAACTGCTACCACTAAACTATAGTTGAATACATTTGCTATCATCCATAAAACAAGAGAAAATCTAATTTAAAGGATGTTCTACCACAATATCAGCTCACTCTTGGTAACAAAGTTTCTTTCATACAAATATTTCACTGATTTGCCATTAAAAACATCTTTTTAGAAAACTCAGCATTGCCACTGTACTCACAAATGAACATCTGAATATGAAGAGCAAAGTTAGACAGATCTTTGGATACTTAAATCCGGTGACTGAAGTTGAGAATGAGAAAAGGCAGAACTTTCTACAAACCTAAAAAGGGGCCCAAGTTTGCAGAAAAATGAGAAATTTAAAAAATGCTACATTTGGTGGTTTAAAAAATTCCAAATGATAAAAGGAACACCTGTAACTTTAAGCGATGGATTTAACTTTAAGCAATGAACTTTAAGCTAGACAACCACAGAATTCCAGGCTGGGTTTCTGTGAGTAAAATGGTGGGAGAGAGGAGTATAGGGCCCTTTTCAGGCCTATTTTGATCTTTAAGGAGGGGATCATTGGAGCCTGGCATGACTAGGGTTACCAGCTCCAAGTTGGGAAGTTCCTGGAGATTTTGTGGTGGAGTCTGAGGAGGGCAGGGTCTGGGGAAGGAAAAAGCCTCAGCTGAACATAACGGCATAGAGTCCACCCTTCAAAGCAGTTATTTTCTCCAGGGAGGGTAGATATCTGTCATCTGGAGTTCAGTTGTAATTCTGGGAGATGTCCAGGTCCCACCTGGAGGCTAGCAACTATAGGCCTGGAAGCAACTTTTGGGTGACTTGATACCACCCGATTTGCATGACTCAGCTAGTCTGGGTGCTTGCCACTGTTCAACAGCAACCACCCTACAAAAGCCAGTATGTTGTAGCAGTTAGAGCTTCAGAGTAGGGTCTGGGATACCCAGGTTCAAATCCCCATCTTGCTGTGGAAGCTCACTGGGTGATTTTGGATTGATCACATACTTTCAGCCTAACCTACCTCACAGGGTTGTTGTGCAGGTTAAAAGCGGGAGAGGAGAATGATGTAAGCTGCTATGGTACCCACTGTGGAGAAAGGTGGGGTATAAATGGAGTAATGAAATAATAAATATAGCTGAAGATGGGAGTTAGACAAAAGGTAGGTTGGTGAATGGCTGAGAAGAAGAGAATGAGGCAGGAAAAGGCGAAATTATATTGGGGTTGCCAGGGGAAGGGAGAGAGGAAATTATGTGGGGAGGAGGATATGGGGAAAGGTGAGGCACCCCCCCAGTCCTTGGGGATTCCCTACCATGCAAGTGCACCTGGCCCAGTGCATCACATTAGTGGGCCATAGACAGAGCAGCAGATAAAGGTAGGCTGTCTGTTGGGTAGGGAGGAGCTAGAGTTGACAACTACATGTTAGGAAATTCCTGGAAGTTTGGGGGGGCTGGAGCCTGGGGATGGTGAGGTTTGGGGAGGGATCTCAGAAGAGCATAAAGAAGAAGCTCCAAATCAACTATTTCCTCCAGGGAAACCAGGGTTGCCAATTTCCACATGGGGGCTTGGGATCACCTAGAATTACAACTGCTCTCCAGATGACAGAGGTAAGTTCTTCTGGGAAAAAATGGGTGCTTTGGGGGATGGGGGGGTGGACTCTAGCATTATACCCAAACCTCACACTCCCAAGGCTCCACCCCCAAATCTCCAGGAATTTTCCAAGTTGGAGCTGGGAACCCTAAGTGAAACTGATCTCTGTAGTTGGGAGATCCATTGTGATTCCAAAAGATCTCCAGGTTGGCAATTGGAGATTGACAGAAGAAAGCAGGAAAAGGGGAAAGTCTATGGAGGCTTTCAGGAAAGGCAAACAGGAAATAGTGGAGGAGGGGGAAATGAGATGCCTCCCACAAGTCCTTGCGGGTTCCCACTTGCCATATATAATTAAAATACGTGCACTGAATACCATTCATGAGCAAGAAAAATATAGACTAAAAACCTATTTGTAAGGATACCTAGACAAACTTTGTTTCCAAGTTTTTGATCCAACATATATATTTAGTTCAAGACAAAGATATATAATTCTTGCCATACCCCTCACAAGTCTCTGGAAGACTAATGATGTGATCTTTGTCACACAGTTTCATTTTTACGGGGGAAGGGCTAACTGTATTCATCACTGCCATTATCATGCTATTTTGAAAACACTATTAGCTGTGTAGCTTTTGTATTTTATGGAAACCATTATAACAGCAAACAATCAACAAATCAATTATATTAATTTTTAAAAAATCTTTTAAACTTTATCTGCACATTAAATTTTGTATTAAATTATTTACACTTTATATGCTAACAAGGAAGCAGTTTACCTATTACAGTGCAATCCTAAAGAGACTTACTCCAGTCTAAGCCCACTGAAAAGAATGGGCTTAGACTGGAGTAACTCTTTTTAGGATTGCACTGTTAGTCTTCTAAAAATATTCTTTTTTTTTCAAATTGGTTTTGCTCAAAAAAGATATCAAATGTAAATTTGTTTATGAGATCCTGTTGATACAAGTACTGCAGCTTTATGCCTGTTTTCACATAGTGACTCAGATGAACAAAAGTACTCATGTTGTGATGGAATGGGTAGCAATATATGGTTTCTGTAACCTCTCACTCTGCACTAGGGATGGGCATGAAATGGCTGACAAATTAAAGTCAGTCATGAATTCTGGCTAGTTTGCGAAACAATGTTGATGAGCTGAAAAACTGCAACAAACTTTCATGAATTTTGATGCAGTTTGTGGTGGTTTGTGAAGAGCAGAAAGGAGGGTTTAAACCCGATTTCTTCTCTTCACAAAAAAACAGCTGAGTGGCTTTTCATGGGGAGCAGAAAGCAGTGTTTTAAATGGCCCCCTGCTTTCTGCTCCCTACGAAAAGCAGCAGGGAGCAGAAAGCAAGGGTTTAAACTTTAAATGGCTCACAAACCAATACGAACCGGGTCAAACCACAAACTAAACCGCAAAAATGCCCATCTCTACTCTGTACCTCTTGTCTGTTTCTCTGACCAAAAGGATCAGAATTTATTAAGACCTTGATAGACAGAGACTGCCCCAACTGTTTTAATAGGCTATTGGAGAACTCATTTAAAACCCTTACATATAAAGCTTAAAAAGTATAAAAGGAAGCAAAATATGAGTTTCTTTAGGCAAAAAAAACCCCTTCCCATTCTGCTAGGCTAAAGATCTAGCAGGATTCTTCTGACCACCTGCATAATTTCCTCAGAGTTCTTTGTTCAAACAAACACTTACTTGAGAACAAGTGTTCGATCCCCCACCGCGGTCAGGGTGAGCTCCTGGCCCTATGTCCCAGCTCC